CTAATCCCTTCTTTATCTTCAAGAATCAAAAGGATCTGCATGAGTGATACTATTGACGAAGAATTAGATAAACTATGGAAGATCCTCATGCAAACTGGATATCTATCCAGATTTATCGATAAGAACTTCAAAGTAAATCAGAATACGGAGCGAGTACTCACAGTTCCTAAGAAGACTTTGTTTATGCACGTTGTTTTCAAAGGTGATACGGCAGCAGAGATCCTGAAGAATCTACTGTCTAGATCACTGAAGAAGACATTCTTCTCTGCAGAATTGCAGATCAGCTTCTTTAGTAAACAACTCATTCCAGAGTGCGTTAAGGATAAGTTGTCACTTTGGGCCACCTCAATGTGTGTCTAAAAATTTACTTGCTCCTGTGAAGCTAGTTATATAGGCCACACAAAGCGCACGCTTTCCAAACGTATCTCGGAGCACTATCCTGCATGGTTGTCGAGGGGAGAATGTAAATCAATTAACAGTCCAATTCTTGAACATTTGGTCAACTCTAAACATAAAGCTAGACCAGAATCTTCCTTCAATGTTATTTTTCGTGTCAGATGGAATTGTTCAAAAGGAGTAAGCCTCCGACAGTTGTGCACAGAGGAGGCATTGGCAATTCATCAATTCAAGAGTGATCACTACGTGCAAAAGAATTATGTTCAATCTCTCATCTTACCATCGTATTAACACACTTTCATTTTTTCGATTTCATTATAATTAATTAGTTTATTATTATCACCTTCATTATGACCCTTGTCTCATTCTTCACCTCCTTTACACCTATCTATCAAGTGGAAATTCAATATTTGCGTTTCTTATCTACCAATATTTTTAAACTTATCAAACTCCTTACCTTCCTCGATATTTCTACTCTCTTAGTTTATTGTGCAACTACGTTGCATTCTTGATTCCGGTTTTTTTTAGCACTAGGTTAGTGATGTAATTATACTCTATTGTTTTATAATAGACTGTTATATGTTTATGATAAATATACATACGATTGTACAGCTTTGAAAATGATATCTTCGAAAAGAAAATTTTCTTCGCTGAATTATCTCTTCTGTATATTTTTCATTGAAACCAGTAAACATTAGAAGTTGGGCATATTTATACTTCAGTTTTTATCTGGATGTGAGGTCCTAGCCAGATCTGAACTCGACTTAAAATTCCATTGAAGCAGTAACATTAATAATAATAATAATAATAATCGCTTTATTCCAAATAACATGCACATGTATATACAGTATGCAGTTTTCAGCGTGGAATATTTCCACAAATTCGCTTCCAATACAATATATTTAAAAGAAATATTTATTACGTCTGAATAACGTTAATACTAGTGTTGAAGATATAAATGTGAAATGGGCACCTAGTATCATATTAGTGTCTGTTGTCGGTTCGGACATTAATACAAAATCAAGTGTAATTTTGGTGATGGTAGTTCAGCCAGCCAGCACAAAAATTCACAATCCTATACAGGTATGCTAGGAATAGTAATGTGATATTTTTTTGAGAATTTACAAATTCATTTCCAATAGACGGAACGTATTTCCTTTGTTTTGTTCTTAGCCTGAGAAGTGAAAGTTTTTAAAGCATTTGAAAAACGAGGAAAGAGTACATGATAGGTTCAGAAGACATTTAAAGGATCAAAACTAGAATATAATCTGTAGAAAGAATTTTGGTAGACCAAGACATAAGTGGGCCGCCTTTAATTGCCTTCTAGTGGTAAATTAGTGTATAGACTAGCTGTATCCAAGATAACATTTTTCTTATCAACTTCTTAGTTATCTACTTCTCCTTTAAGTGGATAAAAGTTGATTAATTTAAATTTTGAACGATTTCTAAATGAAACTAGTATCACCGTTAAATATTTAGACATATCTAATAAGACAAACTGGTTTGTGAACCTCAACATTACCATACGTCTTAATGGGATTTTTGATCCTAGGCATCAAATTAAACTGATTGTACTCACATAGGAATGATTACATTGGGCGTAACAGATTCGAATAGAGCTAAAAGTGACCCCTATATGTTATACTGTTCTGTGGGAAAACATGCTTCTTCTTTGTTCGATATGTGTATCTAAAGGTCGAATTAACTTTGATTTGTGAGCATCATTTTTCATAAATAAATGTACTCACATCCTAACTAGGAAGTGAAAGTGCAAGCAATACTTTGTACATGAATAAACGGTATGAAACACGATTCAGTGACAAAAGGCATTTTAAAAACTATACTAATAAGTAAAATATGCCTACATAATATAGATAATACGCTTTTACACACAGAACGGTATAACCTATAACAGGCACGACAAAAACTCAACTTTCGTCAGATGCATAAAAATTATCTTATGATCGTTTTGTTTCCATATATATGGGCTGATTTAAACTAACTGGATATGGTTGTACTCCGGAATTAATAGTTAGAAAAGAATGTCACTGAAAAGCTTGTTAACATTTTGAAAGCCCTTCACTTCATCATTCATGGTTACCCTTACAGTTACCTCCCTTTATTTGTCCAGAATTATAGTGGGGTTAGACAGCATCGCTTGATTCCATTTTTCCTCTTTACCCATGCCACTGATAAAATTTTAGGGGCAACTCTGAAGGAAATTCTCGGTTGTGTAGACCAATTACCACCTTAAAGACTTTTGACCTGAATTGTGCTATAGAAAACAGGCTGCTTAATTGGTTGGTGACCAGTAACCAAGAGTTTGGTATTTGTTTTGTACCGTAGAAGTGTAAACTGCTTCCACAAGGTTTGTACGAGCCTGCACTTACACTTACTATTGGGAGTGAAACACTTGAATCTGCAAAAATTTTTCTATACCTGATTGAGGTGTAGCTGATGAGGCTTTCGATGGAAGCCAGAGTGGCCACTTTGGCGCTGTTGTGGTGCTACCACTGCTTTAAAGGGTCAGTCATGCAAATCATCGGTGTGGGCAATCTGCCCCACTTCTGTTAAACCCTTCTTCTCTGAGCTTAGGATGTCCAACAACTCAGCCGTTTCAATCACCGTTGTCTAGATAAAATTACTTGTTTCCACTAAAAACACCACTTACACAATTTTGAGGTGACAGAAATCGCTATTAGTTGAGCGAATTCATTTTTAGACACCAACTCCAGCACTTCGGATATATATTAGTCGTGTTATCACAACGGTTTCTCAGGATTTCCCCGATAGGATCCAGGTGATCATACAACTAAGTGTCTGAAGACAGTCATGAAAATGGCTCCGAACTGAAACAACTGACTATCAGGCCAACCTTTATTGCTGCTTCTACTACTTGATACTTAAGTAAAAGTAATGAATGTTTCTTTTAATGTAAGTTAGAAAAGGTTTCCTTGACAACTCATTTCTTTTTTATCTCGGCGTTTTTTCTTTTTCTGTACAACTTTTCTGTGTTGCAATATTATCCTATAGACTGCATTTGTGTATGACCATGTTGTACTCCAAATAGATTGATAGTGTGTAACTGTTATGGCCTATCAAAAGCATAGTATCTATGACACACTCTTCACAAATAATCACTCCCATAATTTATCTACTTTAGATGTATTTTGGATCAATTAATTGTCAAAGGGTTATTTGCAAAATAAAACTTTATAAGGAAGACAGTTAATCACTGTCGTGAATAAAAGTTCTTATATTTCGTTATACAGTCACATTGATTTCAACCTTAAGTTCCAAATAGCTTAATCAGTTAGAAAAAGTCCCTTTAAATAACTATTGAGTAATGGGGAACATTGTCTCCATTCAACGACAGTTTCATATGCTGGGCAATTTCATTATGAGTTCCGATTGTTACCTATTCTGATTACAACATCAACATTCAGGGAATTTCAAACCGAGGTGAACCACAGGTATTTGATGTTTTTAACAACAAAATTGTTAAATTGCAAATAGGTTATAGTTGTCAGTGGCTGCCTATGCGTGAAATATTATCCAGGAAGTATAAACTGTATCAACGATATTAGGGTTTCGCCCATCACTTTGTTAATAACATTATACATTTAAGGGAGTCAATTCAGAAAAGTCTTGTGTGAATGTCAATGGTAGAATAGATAATTACTGGAATTCAGATCAAAATAACTGATTATCTAAACGATTATGCGGTGTAGGTAATGCTATAAGGTGATTGTTGAAAAAGGAATAGGAAGGTGTTTATAAGATTTGGATGAAATAAAATAAGGAAGACAATTTAACGAATAACGGCTTGACAGAATATCGCTCACTTTTAGGGAACAAAATAAGTTAGGAGAATGTGATAACTTATTTCGAATTACGGGGGTGAAGAAATGTCTATAATATTCAATGTAAAACTTAGGTTACATGGGATAGGGTACTAAATAATCTGTGGGTCGTGAGTGAGAACAAGGCAGCTGTAGAAGAAACACCTACTTATCGTGAACACGACTCAACTTCTTCAATCCTGATTGGCGCTGCTTCTGCAGTCTGAAGGGATCATAGCCGAGTGACTCTTGACAAGTTGATGGGAACCCTTATAAATAATGGGAAATGACTTATTAATATTCACTACATAGTTCGCTTGAACTAATTGGGCTAAAATAGAGCTGGCAACGGTCTTTATCATCCTCTTGCCCAATCACGCTGAGAGATGTTTGCAAACATGGAAAATTAAATCCCTAAAGCAGTGGCCGAAACAATAAATGTATTTATTTAGATAACTATTTTGAATTGAATCCTAGTAACGATTGACTTGGATATCAACGTTCATAAAAGACTTTTCTTAAGAGAATTTCTCAACTGTGTCATGTAATAAACAAACTGTTAGACAAAATCTTAATATTTTTGATATGGAATTCATCAGTATATGCAATTAACTGTAAGACCTGAAGAAGAAGTTATCGAAAAGAGTGTTCTTTGTTCACTTAATTGGTTTTTGAAATACAATAGAAATTTTTAACAAATTTTAGTAAATAGAAGTGATTATATACTATGGTAATTTGTACCTTCTCTGTTGGATATTTCAGATATCGGTGTTATGACAGGATCTCCACTAGGTGGTGGTATCTTAACTGGAAAATATACCGACACTATTCCAAATTTTTCACGTGCCACATTAAAAGTAAGTTTTTTTAAGCAAATCAAATAGTTGTTGTTTGATTAACTGTTTGCAGAACTGAAAATGGAATATTGTAAGTTTTCCTTCTAAGCTAAAATCAATCAGTTAGCAATCTTCTTAAATTCTACCTTGTGAAAACTTTTCCCCAGGATATATAAGATAAAATTTCTCCTTCTCGAATTGTTTTAAATCTTTATGTATGTTTTCAGTTCAGATTAAGTATTCGTGGGCATTTTAAATGGTTTCCAAAGTATCATTTTATAAGTTTTAAATGAAATTAATCAACTATTTTAATTGATTGTAACCAGCCTGGTTAACTAGTTCACTAGTTACTAGCGCATCCTAAGCCAGAATAAACAGGGAAGGTTGGGCATCAGGCTACCAACCCTACCCGGAAAACCAATCCAACCGCTACAGAAACTTCAAAGCACAAACTAACCCTAAGCATGGCAGTCCTAGACTGCAAACTGGCTTAATCCTTATTTTTTGGAAGGAAGACAATCCACTGTATACTAAGGGTAGCGTTCTACTTTACTACTTAGTGAATCCAGTGTGTTTCAAGTTATTCTTTCTTCTCTCCTTTACTATTTTTCTGTGTGACTTACCAACTTCAACTAGAGCTAACTTTATTAAGTACGCAAATGACTCGACAGTACTCATGTTGATCATCTCCTCTTCAGATTGTTCTCGGTTTAGTAACTTCTTGACCGGAACTGGTCTACTTTGAACAGCTTCACAGTCAATCCCTCCAAGTATCAGATGGTTGATTTTAGATTAAAATATGAAAAAGACCTTTATATATTGCCTTAGTCCCATGACTCTTGTCTTATAGATGGCTCCGCTGTAGAGGATGTAACAAGCGTGATCTATCTTGGTCTATGCATTTCTTCAGATCTTTCTTCGTCCCCTCATATCTTACTGATTTCCAGGAAAACCCTCCGTTTGACCTTTTATATAAGGGAACTGTATGACATGATTCAGCCTCTGCTCTTGCATTTCTTTAATTCCTGTGTTTTGTTTGTACCTACTTATTGTTCTCTCCGATTGTCTCCTGAACTCAAAAAAGGACTATGCTGTATTGAGTAGGATTTTGAAGGGTGTTAGTAGAGTAAGTGGTAGACCACTAAGAGTGCTGATAAATGCGCTCGAGAATAGGCATCTGAACATTTGTCGACAACTGGTAAAGGGTATTTTATCTGATGACAAGCATCCACACTTCTCGATACCTGTCTTCTGCAGTGATAAGAAGTAAATATATTAAACTCCATGTACTCACAATTACATACAAAAATTCAACCATACCTTATTTAGCTTGAGCGTTGTGTAAAGTAAGTCATGTTAGACATAGTCTTATCGATCAACTTTGCTAAAGAGAACAGTTGTCATGACTGAAGTCATTAAACAAGTCATTAAACAAAAATTATGTTATTCATCACTATGCACTGCTAAACAGCACCACTGTTAATAAACATTTGAAAAATTTTGTTCGACGGATAAATTGATGCAATATCATATCCTGCAAATTCTGTACTGTAAACATAATTATATTTTGGAATAAAGCAAATATATTTCTGTACCTTGACATGCATATTCATGGCAAGTATAAAACAGTAAATTTGGTAGTGTTTAGTTTTCTCACCTACTTAGGTTAGTCCTGAGGCTATCACTGTCATATCAAACAACATCATCATACCCACAAACTCCAGAAACAAGTGACCTATCAGAATTGCTGCACAAGTGCTTTCGCAGCTTGTCTTGAAGATCCTTAATGCTAGTAGAAGTAAGAGATAACATTCTGTTAATGGTAACTATGAAAACTGGGAAAAAGGCATACTTATTTATGGTGAAGGTACAAACATCATGCAAAGTATTGTGAAATTGCTTCACCTGCAAAACAATCTGTTTGATAGGTTTCATGTGGATGTGATATCATTTTACTATGTCAGGAATGAATTCTTTGGTTGTTGAACCCACTCTTCACTTGTTACATTATGTCATGCTCAAGTGAAGAGATTTGCATCAAATCAAAAGAATTATAAGAATAAAAACAGCTATCTCACAGAAATCTGTGAACCTAATTTACGTCGTTGTTATCACTCATCAACAAGCTGAAGTTACAACTTTGAGGAAACTAATATTTTTCTGGTGATTCACATCGGTGGCACTCAGTTCACAAGTTTGAAACTGCTACTAATCTAGCTAGAAAAAGTGCTACCACTTAGGTTAGTCGTCAGACTGCAAACTTAATCTATAGATTTTGGTCGCTCACACCCCCTAAGCCAAATCAGTTACCCATTAGTAGCCGATTCGTGTATCGTCATTTATATTCCGTGATAAAAAGACAAATGTAAAAATACGTTGATCTACTCGTCAAATGATTCATTTGTGGCAAACAGTTTAACATTAATATAATAAGTAAAAAGGGCTAGTATATATATATATATATATATATATATATATATAAATTCTAACTACCAGTTACTTCCACAAAACTCATTATTCTTGTAGCAGAAGTTTTTCGAAAGTTTACAAAAGGAACTGTTATCACTTATGCAAAATGCTGGTAAATGATACGTTTTCCGTTAACAATATAGAAGATAAAATGAAGCTATACTATTATCCAAGCTCTAAAATCTATGATTATAACAGTTTTATAAGAAAGCATAAACATTTTGGTGCAGTTATATCCGTTCTCTTGACTAACACTATAAAGTCTAACTTTGCTTATCTGTTCTTTATCTAATATTGGAAATAAGAATGATAGAATTTCCTCACTAGTCTTTCTAGTAATTTCTAGGACGTAGGTGATGTAAGTCAGTTGGAGACGTTTACTAGGTGTTTAACTGATGAGTATCCATTCATGGTATACGCATAAACTGTCGAAAATCCGAACTAAGTGAAAATTTCATAATAGCATTCATCAGAGACTGAAATGACTTGGAGAAAGATTGGAGATCAAGGGGCGCCAGACAGCTATTTCCTCCCAATTTGGTACTTCTCAGTGCACCCACGGCCTTGCTGGCGGTAGAACACAGGACCTTCAGATTTCGAAGTAATTTACCACTGACGTTAGATGAAGGTATCTCTATATCGCTGATTGGCGGAAGTAAAAAATATTTAAAGCTATGGATTCTGAATCAGTAACTCATTGGTGGCGTGCCTGACTCAAAATCTGTGGGTTCCGGGTTCGAGCAGTGACCAGACTGCAAGCGTGCACTGCTAGAAAGATCAGTGCTGTCCAATGAGTCCAATGCCCCCAGATTTTCAATATTTCTCAAGATGATGTTGGTCTGTGATGAATACTACTATGAAATCAATAAAAACCCTAGCAAACCATTAAATGTGATGAAAATTATTTTATCAGTTTGCGTAAACCAGTTGGTGATGTTTATTCAAGCCAGCAAAAATGTAATCAAAAACTGACTGAATAAACGGAATCTGATATTCAACAGAAATCTGATCCTAAAGTCGTTTTCACTATGGATATAGTTCGGTAGCTAATATCAACTTCTGATAAGTACTACTCTTCAATCAATCTATCAGTTTACGTAAACCAATAATGGAAGTTTATCTTCTAATTTATACAAATTTATCCATATTCTAATATCTTATACCGCTTGAACCAATTAATTATTTCTTTAATTTCAAGGGTCAACATCATATGCAAGAGAAACTTATCAGTGCTAAAGGATTAACTCAAAGGGAACAAGTCAAACAATTGTGTAAAATAGCAAGTAGGATTGAGTGTACAAGTGCACAGCTGGCTATAGGTGAGTAGTGATTAATAACAAATTCACTTTTCGAGTTGAAGATATTGACTAGCAGAAATGAATTATGTTTGTCTTTTTACTTTAGTTTTTCGTATCGTACCTAACAGTGGAATCCAAGGTATACGATTCAGCTTGTTTGTGACTCATCGACTAGTAGTAGCTGCTTCCATGTGGGTGATGTTGTTCCCATTGATACTCAAATCCCTTCAAACTTCTTAATGGGAACGCCAACACTCACTGAGATGCAGGTTTATGCTGTCGACGAATCCCCAGAAAACAACGGAATGAGTATTCTGGATTCCATTGCTAGCAAACATTAAATAAACTACAATATAATGAATATGCTAGGAGTATCAAGAAATCTACGAAGAAGCCCAACTGCAAACAGAGGTTTAGCAGTTCCACTTAGTATATCAGCAAGAAATTATAAGTACCAATGAGTGATGTTTACATCTATTCAGTATATGTTTCTTTCGTTGGAAGTAAGTAAAGATCCACCTTCGACCCAAGCAAAATTTAGTTCGTTTTTGTATTTTATTGATTGTAATAACTGAAAAAAGTTTGGTTTAAGAGAAGTCAGATTGATCAAGCAAAATATTAAGCCACAACATCCTAGCGAGACTAAAGATGTGCTGGATTAAAAATTACGACCGCAACAGGCTGGCTACCTCCAAGAAGAACAAATCATGTGTGGATCGAATTGCAACGCTACACTACGCATCATCATAAGAAACAGAGCACAAAATGGGGGAATGAAAACTCTTTGCCTCTACTTCATCGACTTTCCAAAAAACCTTCGACTGATAGCGTAGACTGAGAAGCGATTTGGCAGTTGCTTCAATACTACGGAGTGAGTGCCACGAACCTTCATCAACCTCATTCAACAGTAGCTATATGCTATATGTGGATGCTACATGCGAAGTGATTCACAATGGAAGGCTCAGTGGTACCTTTGAAGAGAAGCGAAGACAGGACAGCGTAAGATAAGGTTGCAGCCTACTGACACTGATGATCTGCCTCATTGTGGTTGACTCGACTCGGCTGGATCATGCAGCAAACTGTGAGGAGCGAGAAGATGAGCAAACGCTGACTGGATCGATGAGAAGACCCCAGAAGACTGTTTGGATTTTGCCAACGATGATGATGTTTGTCTAATGTCTAATGTCACAAACTCGAAGATCTACAGGTGAAAGCCAACAAGTTGAAAGAAGAGGTGAGACAATGAACGCAGCACCTCCTTCAGGTGAATGTTGAGAAAACAGAGGTGATGAAGATACCCAACCAACAACAATACCAACAACAACAACGAGCACTAATCACCATCATTGGGAGAAATCTGAAGGAAGTTGTCTCTTTCACCTGCCTGCCTAGGCACCATCGTTTCAACTAAAGGCAGAATAGGCACAGATGAGGACGTCAAAACCAGAATCGGAAAGACAGCACGACAGGCCTTTATCACTCTGAAATCGGTCTGGAGATCTACTGCACTGCAGTCAGCATAAAGCGTGAACAAGATCCAGATTTTCAACACTAATTCAGTTAATTGAGTCAATGGTTCTTTGTGATGGTTGAGACACTTGACACGTCACGTAAATCATTTCCAACAGCTGCCGCCTACACTCACTTGATACTGACACTAAAGATCAGATGGCCAGAATGATCAGAATGAGCAACAAGGAACTCTGACTGACTGGCTGGCTGGCTGGCTGGCAGGCTGGCAACGAACCAACCAAGAACCCATCGCCCAACAAATATGCATAGGAAGAAAGTGGAGATGGATTGGATTGTACATACACTGAGGAGACGGTTTGGGGACATGAAGCGTGAGGCCAGGCCATCGAGTGAAATCCAAATGGGAAACGACGAGTTGGGCTTCCGAGGTGGGGGTGACATGGAGGAGATGGTGTGAGGAAGAAATGAAAGTTTATGGGGAGTTGTGGATCCAGATTCAAAAGAATGTAGAGAACAGAGTGGAATGGAGACATGCTACTGATGCCTTTTTTGCACTAGGAACCCAAAAGATAAGCAATGAAAATGTAGATTGAGTAGTACACGTTATGCAATATTTCAATTGCACTCATAAATTTTATTTATTCCATGAGATACCCAAATGCATTTCGTTACGGCATTGAAGCACACGTTCGACTTAGCTTCCACAATTTCCAAGACATAAATTTTACTAGATTCTCCACTAAAGTTACCAAAGTAGTTTAAAAGTTTTGTGGCTGATGTGTGGAACAAGGTACTGGTTTATTAGTAATCAAATTTTATGACCATTTAGTATCTTCATGACTTAAGTTAACTTCCTCCATCAGTTAATCACTTCTTAGCCTTACTGTTTATTGATACTTTGTCAAGTGTTATGTAATAGAGTTCCTTTGGAGTTTTAGAATACTAGGCAGTTTATATAGATATGCATGAAACTGAAAACAACTTATTGAGATCATCTAAATTTTGTAAAATAAACCGATGAAGTGCAAAACACTAATAAAGTGAATTCACTCACAGAATGACGTTTGAAAAGCAATGCCCTTGCAATAAGACCTTAAATGCACTTGAATCTCTATTCAAGACATTCCACTTTAATCTAACTGAACCCAGTTAGTATTTACAACTTGAAAGATAAATAAACTTGGTACAAATTTTATGAAAGGATATACTTCCATCCAAAAGACTACACACTTACAACAAATGCCATCTGTTCAACTTAAGTCAGAAGGAAAGTAAATCTTAAATTTCCTCCATTTTTATTGAATGGTTGAAGCAAGATTTACTTTTTAAAAACGAAAACACTCTGTTTGGAGAAACTTGGGGAAAGTAGAGAACTACTTTTAAACCCGTGGGCATTCTTATGCTTCATGTCTTTTGTAGCAACATGTGTAGAGTTCTGCGCTACATCATCGCAGAGGAACAAGACTTTCTTAGGTAATAATTAAGTTCATATCATTGGCTTACTTGAATTCCTTTAAGCTGGTTTGTGTGTACTAAGGAATATACAACGATAACCAATTGGTCTTATCATAGCAGTTCAGTTTATCCTAAAATCCCGTAACTTACGTCAACTGATCTGAGAGTGACCATCTACTCTAGTTTGTAAGATTCCCTTGACTACTCAAAATGCTCCCATCTTGAAAAGGTAGAAGGAGATAAAAACCACAATTATGAACTGCAATAAACTTTGAAGTATCCAAACTATAGTCTTCATGAATGCCTTGAAAACACTATGGGATTACATATATATTTTCACAAATAAATTTTACATACTTTTCAGTAACCATTCAAAATTTTCTTCTTGAGATCCATATTATCGGAAGAAGGCCTATATAGTCATTGGTGAAGAGAGATGACAAGTGCAGTGACGAAATCATTCCCTTAGCTATTCATTCTTGAATACACGATAGAAAGGATAGAATTATTGCATAGTAATTCCATATTAGATTTGTTTATTTGATATATAGCGCACAGTGATACAGTATTATTTACTTATTTACGTTTCGAGCATAAATTATTGCTCATAATCATATCAATGTAATCACACTTCTTTCGATATCTGATTTTATAGTCCTGTCACCTGATTTTTCTTTATTTTTTGTTTCGAATGAAGGGTGATTGCATTGATATGATTATGAGCAATAATTTATGCTCGAAACGTAATCAAGTAAATAATACTGTATCACTGTGCGCTTTATATCAAATAAACAAATCTAATATGGAATTACATTCTACCACAGTGCCCAAGTTTTACACTTATATTATTCCATAGTAGTTTCCGGTCAAGAGTCGAAATACATTTCACCACAAAAGAAAGTTACGTAGTGCATATAGGAGTTTAAAATAAGGAAATAAACGACTGATTGCGAAATAAAATAGAATTACAGCATGAGAGAATTATCTAGAATGATCGATCCTTTATGATGGCCATGACAATAGTGGTTTGAACTACTGGACCACTACTGCTCCAGATATTTCAACTTCACTCTTTTCAAGTTGTCTGGTCGAATTTTAAATATATTTTTACAGGACTTATAAAAAGCAGCCGATGTTTCTGAGTTTATTTAGTGTTCTGTTACACAGCTGAAAATGCATTTCTCTTTTCTCCTTGTAAACCAGGCTGAATAGCATTTACGTGCGCATTTCACAACTTAGCTGGTAGAATGTCCTATGTACTAGACTCCACAGGAGGAAGTAAACTAGTATACACATATTTATGCCTCTCAATGTATTAGCTTACCCTACGCCTACTAAAGAGTTTCTGACGGGATAATTTGATTCTAAGATTGTGGACCTTGACAGTTGCTTCCGCACTATCGTTCTTGAATTCAAGGCTTATTAGTAAAGTAATTTACGGGCCAACTGAAAGCCATTCATCATGCTTGTCACCTTCAAATTTTATTAAATATTAATATTTCAGCAGGATTTGTCGCAAGTTCTTTGATTCATCATCCTCTGTAGAGGGATAAGCACAACTGAAAGTTTAAAGTAAATTTCCCAGATTAATATTCTCATCATAAATAAAAAGGTATCATCCATCTGTCTGTTGTAGACACGAAGTTTGTTGATTATTTTTAACAATGTTGTGTTCTCTAGGTTTACTGTAAAGAAATCAACAAAGGGAGATCTTAAAGACGATCCCATTGTCATACCATCTATTTCTTTGTAGATTTCGTCAATAAATCTGAAATGAACACTCGATGTACACCTAAGGAGAAATTCTTTTTAGTAGTGATTTCAGATATCAGTCTTAATGTTAAAAGACTGGATAAAGCGACACAGAAAATAAATAGTTTCTCTTAATAAATCATTAATTAATGTTTACCTTTAATTATATTCAGCTTGGTGCCTTCGTTGTCCACATGTCAGCAGTGTAGTGATTGGGGCGGCCACAGTTGACCAGTTACAAGAAAATATGCTGTCGACGCTAGTATGTTAAATTTGTTTTTATTTTACTGAAAAATATCATTCAAATAATTCAATAATTTCATTAGAGTTGAAATATAATGGGATTGTAGGTAGTGCAAGTTAATTTCCAAAGACTTTATTCATCATAACATGTAAAATTAAGTTTCTATAAGCTTTTACCAACATTATGGTAAGATTTTGATAACCATTTGTATCTGAGATAGGTGATTTATGCAGTTATGCTCTCTCTAACCTCATTCAGCCTTCAATGCTACTACAGAGGTAATGACCAGCACAGATTTCAATGGAAGAAACCAGTTAATATTTCTTTGCGACTGGTTAATCGTTCCACCTTGATTACTTAGTCTGTAATCAGTTATTACCAATGATTTTGTTGTATCTGCTTGCATATGATGATCAGTGGCTGATTTTTAGCTATCTGATCCTAAACCCTATTGTTTTTTAGTTTCCTATTTCACTTCTATTTTTATTGGTTGTTGTTTGACTTCAACGTGCATCCTTGAAAAATATGTTCTCTAGAACTCAGAATGCATGAATTTATTCATAGCCTCTGCTAATTTTAACTGTAGTTATAAAGTTCACACAGTAGCTGCAAAAATTGGATGACATCAGTACATATTACCGCTAACCCCCTGACTTGCTTGCTATCACCCTGAGTCTTTTGCCAACAAGTTTTGTTCTCTTTTCAGATCTCAAAAACTCTTGGGCTATCCGGTGCTAATTCAATAAACAATAAAAATAGCTATTCCTATTTACTACCTACTAGTATAACTGAACAAGTATGGAAGGTGATGTTATTTGAAAAGTATACTTCTTTGCAATTAATAGCATCTCCCCATTGACTTCAAAAGTTCATATGGTCAATATAAGTCATTCACTTCTCAGAATAACAAATGAGGTTAAGTGAATAAATTAAGAGTTAACTGCCTATAATTTCAACTGGGCTACTGAATATCAATAAAAACTACCCACAAAGTAAGCTATTACTTTCATTTTACTCTACAAACCGGCAGTCACCCAACCCTCAGTTAACAGGCTTAACCGATGGAATAATCACGCATAATTGTGACATTTTATTTATATTTGACTGTCCAGTTATCAGTATTGGGTGGCGACTGAAGATGGAATGAAAATCTGAGCAGCAACAAGATTCGAACCTTTAATCTTCAGGTTACCAGCCCGGTGCTCTTCTAACTGAGCTACGGCAATCTTAGAGAGTTCTTATTGGAGAACCAATTTGAATACTATGAACGAACTGCTACAAGCCATAAATTCATGTAACAGTCGGGCAAAAACCCTGGAAATTGAGTGAAATTAGGATCTGGTCAGTAGCTGGGCTCCGTTACTCAGTTGGTAGAATACCGCATTCGTAGTCTGGAGGCCGCTGATTCAAATCACGCCATGACAAACGTTTTTATTGCTAGAAAAAAATTGGTTGAGCGAAGGAATATATTCCTTTTCAATTAGGCCTTCATCTTGGGCTCTACACTTATATATAGTTTTACAATTTAATCAAATTACCAATCACGTGGTGATGTTTCGGAAATAATGATGCGAATAATCAATAGAGTAACTAAAATTGGAAATATGAAACAAGTTTTTCTTTGGTAAATAGAGTGACTTTAATGGGTGTTCAATCATCCACAATAAGAGATTACGTAATAAGAAGAAACTAAATGAATATTGATAGAAACAAGAAGGGGAAGAGGTATACAAAGTAAACCTAGAAGTTACATCATGTTGACTGCCAAGGTAAGGAAAGTGGTCGAACAAAATACTTTTGGATACAAAGTCTAGGTTTGTAAAGGTGGATTGCAATCGCCTCTGCTATGTGAAGTAACCGAGTGCGTAATCCATGAGGTAAATTAGTTGGAATCTGATGGATGATTTTGAAAGCCTTTCTAGCAACTACTTGATGTCTTGTGTCAACTAAGTGTGGAAGTATGGACCTCTTTATAGTTCAGATTCGTGTATTGATTGGTCACGGGAGTACAACCAATTTCGTATTGTCTAGTCCTGAGTGCAGACCGAATTTTATAGACCATATTTGCAATGCGCTAATCAAGCTAAGAAGCTTAGCATCGCGGTGAACACTAGAAGATAACCCTAGCTGACGAGTACCAAAAAGCACGAAACGTAGGTCATGCAGGGCTTCAATCCAACTAACTAACATCTACTAATGTGCACCACGGTGCTGAGCTTCCAAGCTTGGTTACCGCATTGCAAATATGATTGATAGAATTTGGTCTACACTCAGGACTAAACAACATGAAATTGACCAATCAATACATGTAAGCCAGTCCTACAGGAGATCAGTCGCAGCCCGAATAGTTCAGTGGTAAAGACGCTGACTACAACACTGGGTGACGTGGGTTAGAATCTCAGGTGGGACATCAGTTTCATCGAGGCTGCAGATACGCCTTACTGACGAGTGCTGAAAAGCACGAAACCTAGGTAGAACAAGGCTTCCTGCCGATTGTCTCCAACTAACTGTTCTAATTTGTCCCGTGTTCAACCATGACGGCTGTTGCTCAGAAATTCGACGATAAAACTGTCTATTTCAATCATCACCAAGTATCAATACAAGTCATCTTACCACGGCAGTCTCAGGTATTATAACTAACCATACAGTTACTACCTTGTTATCTAGTCATTATACTTCATTCGTGTTTCTTTCTTCTTTTTCCTCTTTTTTACAGATTTATCCAAACTTAACACCAAGTATAATTTCTGAACTTGATTCTTTGTTGAGTACAACAGATTCAGGTGAAAACTTTCTTTAAAAACATATCTGTATACTCAGGTTATTTGTCAGTAAGAGGAATTTCTTCAGTGTACGATAATGAATGAGCTACCGAATATGCATTCTACTCAAAACTGGAAAAAAAACTTCAATTATCAAGATTGATGGACATAATACTGAGGAAGAGTTCAAGTGTTATAGAAATGAAATAACAGTATGCAGATGAACTTTTCACAGCATACTTCTCTTTTTCTGATGTTATCAGTCTCACCAGTGTATATTATGCATAAATTAGGCCAATATACTTTGTAATTTTCCAACATACTACTTTGAGTAGTACTGTTTTGCGCATTCGTAAATTGTAAAAAAAATATAATCTGTCATAAAATCTCCAAAATATTACGGATTTCCTAGTCTATATTCAATAGCGAGACAATACTTCCATGCATATTTTACTGTTGTCTGAAAGGATGGAACTGAATACAGCTTATTACTGCAAAAGAGCATCCCATCTGTGCAGCATGCTTAGAAAATCCTCAAATTGACTATTTAAGATACCTGACAGGTACTGTGGATATTCTTGCTCGCCAGGATATAAACTTGCGTAGTTTACCTGTTTCCAAAGATGAAATAGCACAGTTGTATCATTTATGTCTTCGAAATACGACGCGGGTCTTAATTCTGCAAAAGGATTGAGTGTTCTGGATATCGCAGCTCACTGAGAAGAATCATGGTAAACAAAAGTTGTCTAGAATTAACGGAAAACCTCGATGAAGGACTTTGGACCAGCAACCTTGAGGGGACTCATCAGAAACAAATTCATGGAGTGATCTGCCAACTTTAAGAGTTGTTTTAAAGCAGCACAATAACCTGCAGTGGAAAAAGGAAGTCACACTGAGAACATGCAGTTAGTAAACAGTGGAACACACAACAGACGTGCAAGTGCAACTAGAGTGACAGGACAAAAAATCTACCAACAAATTCAGCGTCATTCATAATAGGACGTTTCAGCACACCACATTTATTTACCATCGGTATAAGAACGGACCTGCAACTCATACATTTCACATAGGTGAACACACTAGTCACCTCAGCTTGTTTCACATATAAAGGAAGTGATCCTTTCGCAGATTCACCTACAAAGACCGTTTTGCGGCTTCTGCTTCCTCTAAATAGTCTGATTAGGTCATCTTCTCGGCATCTGTCTAGCCGAAAGCCACTTCAACGACTTTACTAAACCATTCAACTGGAAGTAGTGACGAGCGGTGATTTGCACTTACCAGGTATTCCTCGTCCACGAGGAATAATTGCAGGCCCCGATCTCAGTCACGATGGTGATAAATCGGTTTTCCTAACCCTTTCGGGTCAGGTTTCCAGACTTGCTTCCACCATCATTGTAACGCAACTGTAGCGAAGGACAGACCTAATATTGCTCAACTTCGTGTAACTTAAGTGTGCCACTTGTCCCTCTAAGGAAGTGAAATCTAGCACCGTGCATTCAGGAAAACGATCATACCAATCCATAAAGAGTCAATAGAAACCTCACCCTGAATAAACACAGAGGACCAGTCTACTATTTAGCTTGTAAAAGTTACGTTCGTTATCGGAATTAACCAGACAAACCACTCCACCAACTAAGAATGGCCACACATGATCAAATAACTGAGAATTTATCAAGTAGAAGTATACAAATAAACTGGTCAATCTCGAAAACAAAAGCTTATCTGGTGAAAGTTATTCCAAGTTTGAAACAAGTGAAATTCAACTCAGTCTTGGTATGAGTGAAAACACCCAGTCATGAAGAGAAATGATTCTTCAACCGATGTCATTTCATGGATTACTAACTTATATATATCCTTTGATACACTCCTTACGAATGGAATGTTTTTGACTGTCACTACTTTTAGTTGGACTGGATTATCTACATTCTGTTCATGATATTAAAATTTTACGTGAATTTCAATAGTCTTTTATTACTCTTCATCAAAGTTAGACAGTATTTTGATGAATACCTTCAGTTGTATTTACTTCAGTTTGGCGGTAACATCTTCAAAATATGAGGAAAGAAACATTTGGAATAATAACTAATGTTGAAATGCATATGGATAAGCATAACACAATAACCAGTTCTTATCATCCTACAGAAATGAAATACTAAAGCTGAGCTTGTAACCATTACAAGGTATCTCGAAAATGTCAGGACAGTCAGTAATAGGCATAAATAGAATTAGCTGGATGCACTCTGTCAAAGGATCCATTCAACCAGTTTAGTATGACTCACTCATAACACTGATTTCGTCACCATTTTCTGCATGTTTTTCTCTGGTTACTATGTGACATAATCATGAACTTATAACTATAGAGGCCGGTAATGAAGTCTTGAAACCTGTTGGTAATGGAAGGCCTTTAGCCCTGAAGTCTATTCAAACAGCCTCAATATATTCTCGTAACAATACATGTTAGTATTTTAGCTACACTTTTATTCTGAATGAAGGTAGGAAATGAGCCAGAAAGTTCCGATAAAAATTTCAACAAAGTGCAACAAACTCCTACAGTTGTCTAGATCGTACCCTCACGAGATATGAACTTAAAGCGATACCTCTGGATTTCCACCAACAAGTTTCATCTTCATATAGCTTCATCTTAAACTCACCAGTCAGAATACTTTGGAAGCTTCAAGTAGAGATTTCATTCTGAGGCTTTACATAGAAATGATAACAAATACTGGAAAAAACTAAAATTGCATTGTAGTCTCCTGCTTTTGTAGAATTTGAGAAAACTGAATATAATCTTATGCAAGAACCAGGCATTTGAGTTTAATGATCCAAGATTGTTGATGAGATAGGCATTTTGGCCGGAATCTGAGAACACAAGTGAGGAGAAAAAGGACCATCACAAGATTGTCTGAACATTTTATTTCATCTTTCAGATGACATCAACTCCTTCAGCGCTATTCTCAGTAAATATTACTTTTTCCTGCAAGGTTTGTTAGTCCTCATGAAGTTCATAGATGTTCATCCAAGACTAGGATGATGGTGGCTTAGTCTTGCTTTAGCTTTGATATTTTGTCGTGAAGGTTTCAGAAAGAAGTTAGATCTGAGAATATCGCATAACTGATAATGAAATATTGCAGGTACAACATACAGGATGGTTATCATATAGGAACAGGTATTCAAATGCCTCAAAAATGATGCATCCAACTGATTATATACTGTAATTGAAATAAGTAAAAACCTTATAATTACTTTTAATTAGACAGAATTTGATAAAGGTATAGTACAAAGATTGCTTACTGAACACCACTGACATGGATATTCCAGCATTTTAGTGATGGATACAACCACGGAATCTAAGACGAGTGTTTCATCTTGTTTTGGACTCGTCGGGCAGTTAAGGCTGCCTAGCGGTGAGCGATGTTGTCCCCACCATGACTCGAACTCTGAACCGATGGCTTCAAACTTCAGAGTGTTATCCACCAGGCTAGCGAGTCACTATACCCACTTCTTGTGCAATGGGTATAGTTTTAATGTTGTTACTTATATTAATCCGTCGTTGATTGGACCGAACTCCTCTAGAATGTGTTTAATAAACTGAAATAAGATTTTTCTGAACCTTTCATTACGTCACAGTTCCTTCATAATTAGAATACAACAGTATACGACAGCTTCAAAAATTTCATAATGTCTTCTGCTGAAAGCGGAAATCTGGGAAATAAATCCAAGCTAATACCAGTTACATTTTTTTCATAATTTTTTGTGCTTCAGATAATAATGTACTAGTAGAAGAAAAATCATGTCCAACCTTACCACATTTTCGTCCGATTATCTGTTAATACCTACTAATCTATTTTTAAAGTCTGTTGTACTTTTAACACCTAAAAAATGCTATGCTGAAATGGACTAGTGAATCACGCTTTGGCGTTCGATGTGATGGGTACGGGGTTTAGGCCTCAGTGGAAACATCATTGCTCACTGGGGTGCAGGATGAATCGTGAGTCCTAGATTCCACTGTTAGCCACCATGAAACAAATTTTATTGAGATGGTTTATAAAATTTCCGATAAATAGTTTTCAGAGACGACAAATCAGTCATTACACATTTTCGATCAGCCTTTATATATATATATATATATATATATATATATATATATATATATATATATATATAGTGTGATTGTGTGTCAATACGTGCATTGCAACAGCCGATTTTCTTTCTAGATTATAGATCTTATTTATTCTATATTTAGCTAAATTCCTATGTTCGGCTATTCTAACTGACCCCAACCGACTAGTTTGACCTACGTACTTGACTTCACAATCATCACATAGATATAATTTTGCTTAATTGGTTCTATCGGATTCTTAAGCCAACAAGGCTTATCTCTGAGTGTGTTTGTAGGTTTAGATACCACCCTAATTCCAGCTTTGTTGAGGATCCTACGTAAAGTTTCTGATGTACCCTCCTTGTAGGGTAACACAACAGAAGATCTGAACTCATTTTTACTTCTGTTTTCGTTATTATTCGTACTCGTGTGACGGATATTTTTTCGCTCTTTGTGTGCGTACAAATTTCTTAATAAACTGTAGAGGATAATTATTAACTATTGGCGCTTCTTTTACGTGTTTCAGTCCCTTGTTTAGGTCCTTGCACTGACTAGTCAGTTTTCTAGCTGCATCATTTAGACATTTGACTAAACCTGCCTTGATTGATTGACGTTGGATGGGATGACTTGAAGTCTAAATACATGTTGGAATATGTCTATTTTCTGCAGATGGTAGTATACAAACCGCCGTCTGTCCTTCGTTTCATCCTGTAATCCAAAATAAGTAATTCTCCTTGTTCATTTTCTACCTTATAAGTGAACTGGATTGCGCCTACTACTGAGTTTATATATGTGAAGTTGTCGATATGTTCCGATTTCAACACAGTAGTGAATGTGTCATCCACATATTGGGACCATATATTAGGTGCAGGATTAAACGTTTGTAAAGCCATGTTTTTCTAGCTATCCATAAATTTATCTACTACGATCTGGGATATTGGCGGTCCCATTGCCACTCTTTCCGTTTATCTGTATATTTTGTACTGAAACTTGAAGACTGTGGAGGTCAGGCACAACTGTATGCCTAATATGATCTCATTAACCAATATCTTCATTCTGTAAGTAAGTTCTGAGTCAATATTTAGTTGACTTCTGACTGCCTGCAGTGACATGCAATGCACGTATTAACACACAACCACATAATCGGGTGGGATAAAACTACTGTACTAAGTCTAATATAATTATGTGGAGAGAAAGAGATTGGTTACTGAATCTTTGTTCATCGAATCAACACCAAATACATGTAATAAGAATGATGCAACACCTATACCAGAGATATGGAAAATTTTACT